GGCAAATTTTTGTTACAAAAAAAGAGTAATACATTCATACGAAGTAACACATCCTGTATTCACTACAGCAACATAAGATTTGGAGTGATTTACTTTGACGTTTTTTTGGACATAATTATTAGAAGTGTGATATGTAAAGAAGGATTTAAGTACACAAATCATTCTGTACAAGCATATTAGGTTTTAACAGAAATAACACGTGCGTAACTGGACACGAAATGGATTTACAGTGGTGTTCGCATCAGGTCTCCTTCAATACATCTCATAATTATTTTTAATATTTATTATATTTATATATAATATAAATATTATATATATATATATATATATATATATATATATTATATATATATTATTTTGTTAATACATCTTGATTTATCTCTAGATTGAAACTCAAAGCGAAAATTAATTGCGGAACGAAGTCTTGATGCGAACAACGTCATAAATCCCACGTATAGTGTGTAATGGTGCAAGTCTCTCTAACCCAGTCTGATAGTTTGTTCGACGAGCTCTGTATGGAGAGTGATCAGGTAACACAGCTTGCAATGATAAATACAGAAAAGAAATCAGATCATTACGGTTAATTTTGTTACTAAGTGACTGCTTGCTACAAAAGCCTATCACTTGAAAAGCCAGCAATGAAATTGTTATCACAAAGTCCACAAGTTGTCTATGTACATTACTTTCACGAGGGAAATACATCTCTCAAGGTCTAAAGAGCTTCAATAAAATCTAGACACGGTTGTTAAAAAACAAAGCTATTTATATTTTCTGTCTTTATATAATTCATAGGTGTGTGCAACATGTTTTTTGCATGACATCTAATTCCACAATAATAATATACGTTTTCTCTATACAATAGGCACCTTTCAATTTCTTTACCTTACACACTAAACTAGAAACATTTATTGTGACTATAAAGTAACCTAATAGACCCAATGAGCTACACAAATGTTATGTACAAAGCTTTGGCGTGGCTGCACAAAAGTGTGGATCTCTCGAACATTAGTTTTAAAATCCATTGGCAAAGCTGGGGGCCGTAATAATAAGTGTGTAACCTTGGGGAAAGCTACCACAGGCTTGTATGTCAATTGGGACTCTGGCTATTCCAGATAAATATCACGGTTATGAGTTGTACCTTTATAGGCCTAATAATGATTGTTTTTGGATAAAGATGTATAGGAACTGAAAATAGAAGTGATCCCAATTTAATTAGGAATTAAATTGACAGATGTATGTCCTCGGCGTTTTTAAGAACGGATTGTGATTTATCATTGTCACAAAAAAAAAAAATCAACTGTATATTTGTTTTGCACTGACATGTTAATATATATTTTGTGAGTAGCCTCCCTCAGGGTCACCGCGAAGTCACACAAGTCAGCTGGACGACTTTCAAGGCTGGATCTCCAACATGGAGCCTCCGGGTATAGAAAATAGTACAGAAATAAACAGATCTTTTCAATAAGTTTACCTTGTCTAACACTGTTTGGGCAAATCAAGTCTAAAATGGTAACCCTGGACTAACAACTCATTTTACCCAGACAGATACCGTGGACAACGTAAACCTCCTGAAAGAGGACCACTGAAAAAACAAAAATCAAAGACTGATGTGGGAGTGTTGGAAGATCGTTTCAACCATTATTTACTTTTAGGGAAAATTTCTTGTTACAGTTTACTTTAGAATTAACCCTGAAAGCCAAAGAGGTTAACACTACCTTTCTCTGACCCCAGAAGATTGAGTTATAATGGATCTTTGGCTGGTACGACTGATATCCACCTGGGCGGTGGTGCAGGGTGGGTAACTCCCCTCAGGGAATTACCAAATTGCGTGAGTGGCTCACTACGTCAGTGGTTTTGACGCTTTATAAGATAGGCGTCAAGGTATGTGTTGATGTTTTGTTACACATGGAGATTTTAAGAATATAAAAATCAATTTCTAAAAATGCTAAGCTATAAATTCTCATTCTTCAAGGTATTGAATTGCATTCTCCCACTCAATTATCAGTATTGATATTATTACTGTGTATTATAAGCTTTAGTTGCACATATATATACAGTTGGTGAACCCACCATACACTTTAGTGGACATTTCCTCACCCACTGATCACATCTGGACTCTTTTTGGGATATATTGGAAGCAGCTGACTACCTGTGTTTCTCTCTGGGCCGGAAAATATATCACTCATATTGGTTTTTAAATAATGAGAGACGTCATCAGCGACTTTAAACCTTAGATAGAGCTTTAAGCTTGTATTTTTGGGCAAAATATATAAAAATCTGACCTAAATAGATCATGCTAGGCTCATTGAACTGCTTATGCTCCAACAACTAACTTGTATTTGTTTCGTATAAGGAAAGTTACTAACTACTATCCACATAACATAAATATTGTCACTTTCCATTACTATTTTTCCGTTTGCTTATACGCAAACAGGTAGGTAAATATAACCGAATTGTTAAGAACTATCTAAGGGTGTGTCGCGGACATCAAATGCTTCCAGTACATGAAACACCATCCTCATGAAACGCGCATCCTTTTATGTACAAATGTTTTATGGAAGAACAGCACGGTTCAAACATTATGAGTAAGAGTAATTTGGGGGATGTCACGGAAATAGGATGAATCGTGGTTTGGATTAACCGTTAACCCATTTTTTGCTTCTCTTATCTTGTATAGACTCCACAACCACTGGTTGTAGGGATAAGGAATTCCACCTTGCACTCGACGATGAGATTTAGTCTTAGTAAAACAGCACTGGAGTTATCTTACACTAGAAGTCAATAAACAGCCTTTCCAAGAGCGCTAGACTTTCAGTTCCATCTCACTTCGGTCGCAGATTAACCGTACCATATCTCAACCACAGAGCAACCGTACATAATCTCAACCAGCACACAGCAACCGTACCATATCTCAACCACCACAGAGCAGTCTTACTATGCTTCAAGCACCAACGAATCTCGGTCTTCATACTTTACCTTTCACTTCTTGAATTAACTTGTCATATAGGAAGATATACTGTAACATCCCACTTTTACAATATTTTCCATATTTTGATTGTTGGCTTTCTGACGTTGGAGCAAGAAAATGCTGGTCTTCTTGCAATGTTTACCAGGCAACTTAACATCACGTGACAGTTTAGTCTTTGCTAATGTTCTTAGCTCTCCTTTTTCCTGAACAGATTGCCAAAATGGTCTCGAATGCTTTCTTAAGCACTTACACATCTTCCTGACTTCTAATATCTTAAAATTTCTCCCTCTCGTCCCTTCTGCTCCGTTGTAACTCTTGGTGATAGTTTTGACCTACTTCGCGTAACTAAGACTGCCCACACGCTTGACCATCTGCTCTTCACTGCTTCTTTCTTGGGGGCCGGACGGGAACTCCCTGCATCTCGGCCTCATGTTCGGCCTTCTTCTCCTGGGCGTTGGTGATGGAGGCAGCTTTGTAGGGGATGGGGCCGTAGTTGTAGGTGGCGTAGTCTACGTCAGCGTACTCCAGGTCTCCCCCGCCCAGGTTAGTAAGGAACGGCTGTGGGATAGTCACGAGGATTAGTCTAACGTGAACATGGAAATGAGAAATGATATTATTCTCATATGGAATGAGAGGTAAGGAAGTTTGATCAAAGGGAAAGGGCATCTCCAATTCCTTGGATCAAGAACCCTTCACCGACATCCATTATCATTACTATATAAAGGAGGAAAAAACGACAAATAATAGCTAAATAGCGGTCAGTTATAAAAGAGGAAAACTCAGGAAAGTATTCCCGTCTCCTATAACACTTTGTTTCATAATGCAATATGAAACTAAAAAACATCCACACAATAGTTTTCAAAACTAGGAGAGAGACTAATCCTCTCAAGTAAAAATATATATACCCTTGAAGGGAGGATTGTTGGTAGGGTAGCTCCAATTTTTTGGAGCTTCCCTACCAGCCAGAGGAAATTTCTGAAACTTGCATCACTGTATAACATTTATCCCCAGCTTCACACTTGTTATAATTATTAACATAACTGAAAGCTAAGCCCACAAGGGTCGTACAGCTCACACTTCTAATGAAACCGAATTTGAACGATACCTAAAGAAATATTGTCAGTTTTGGAGTATGGTCTTGGTACAGTAGCATCATTTTGTTAATTGTTTTTCCAGCGTTATCACGTGCTTTCGTCTAATGTATATGATGTTTGGTGCATGAGCGGTCATTTTTTTATGTAAAGTATTAGTAAAATTGTGGTCATTTTGAAAATTAACCATAGAATTTCACTCAAAATATCACAATTCATCCCCTTATCCAAAAAGCGCAAGATAATCGGTGAACTGTGTGTGTGTGTGTGTGTGTGTGTGTGTATACACTCTCTCTCCCTCCCTCTCCCAAGCATTCACTGTCTTGAAAGTAGATTTATTGCGTTTCTGAAATTACTTTCGTTATATTATGATCTGCATAGAATTTAGCGCAATGGAAACAGAAGAAACAGCCTGGCCTGGCCGAATGAGGCCCGAACTCAGGGCTAGGTGTGCGAAGCCAACGTTTAGCACTCGGGGCAACCCCTCTCTGGGTGATGTCAGCAGACACCACTGTGTGCCAAGTCAACTGCAAGTTTTTACACCCATCTCCCTCTATTAACAGTCCTATTGATAGACCTAGCTCATGTCCTTTCAGTGCTAAAGTCAATGTTCTTGGAAAATTCCTAACGAGCTTTATACTGGACGGGAATCGAACCTATAAAAGAGTGAATATGACTCTCTAACCGAGGGTTCAAACCCCACCCGTGGTATGGTCTATAAAAGAGTATCGTATTTAATACCCCTTTTGGTATTATAAGATTTAAGTGTGAAAAATATATGTAGTAGTAGCAGAGTACTGAGAGTAACTTTGTACTAACAGATTTATTTGTGTATACTTTACATTCAGTACACTAACTACATTAGTTAGGGTTCCGGTTTCATAACCTTCTCAATTTATATTTGAGTTTGTTTAGTACCCGTGTTGCTGGCTTAATTTGACCGGTGTGAGGAGAGTGGTTCAGTAGTGATATCTAGGGAATAGCTAAATCAGGATGAAGAGTCCCATTAATTATTGAGACTTAATTAAACTATACCGGATGTCTTTGAAGGTCACCCGACTTGTTCTGACAAAGCCGAGGTTACGTGTGTGCTAGGCAAGTCTGTCTCTTTTACAAAGGGTTTTACAAGGTTAAGTATTCCTAGCTTTATTTAAAAGCTAAGAGCTGTTACCTACATCAGCTCATTCGAAACCTTTTTGTTACAAAACATACAAATATGGAACACACACACTCTCACTCTCTCTCTCTCTCTCTTGGTGCATCATACGCATTTAAGGTGCTGTAATAAATATTATTACATTGAGCAGAACTAATATATATAAAATATAATATATTATATATATATATATATATATATATATATATATATATATATTATATATAATATATATATATATATATATAATGTGCATTAAGTTAATGATCACCCTATAAAGTTTTGACATTAAAAAGAATATTGGATATTAAAAAAATGATGAAGTTGGCAAAGAAAGACACACACACACTAACACACACACACACACACACACCACACACAACAGGCCTAGTGTCTAATCGACATGTGCCTAGGACAAAATGGTAACTAACTAACACACACACATGTTCATGACTAGCAGCAAGTGCACCGTAAACAGCTATACGAGGGGGGGGGGATTACAAACCTTTTTAAACGTCGATTTCCTGTCCTACAATGGGGCCATTAAACTGTAGGATGGCATATTCGGTGTTGAGATCTCTTCTGTAATGGTTTGGTTGACCATTACGAGATAAGGCTAGGTCAGCGTACACAACTCCGGGAGGGTATTTGGGCAGATGTGATTGGCTGTTTACAGACTGTGAGTATGCTTTAGTAGAGTGGGATTGGGAATTGGGATATGACGTGGCAGGATTTGATTGATTCTCCAATCTGTGTGGATACGTTGACGATGAATATGACTGGCGTGAGGATGAATTATAAGAGGGCGGGGGATGGGACTCTTTAAGTGATGATGATGATGGGTATTGTTTATACGCGGGTGGATTTCTTTGGTAATGTGGTTGGTGCTGTGGTTGGTACTGAGTTTGGTACTGTGATTGGTAGTGACTGGAGGAGGGGGAAGAGGAGGACGAGGAGGAACTAGGCGTTGGATTCTGTGCTGATCCGTAGTTGGCTGTCTTTCGATTCTGCAAACAAAAACCACAAAACGCATTCCTCTGTTAGTTGGTTAGTCACTCAACAACGCTATCCAAACTAAACAAACTACATTTAAAACAAAATCTCAATGCGCTATTTCTTGTCTGTATTCAGTGTTGCAATAATCTCAAGTAAAACAAGACTGCGAAGCTCTAGGCTAAGAATGACAAGCAAAGCTACGAAAATATCTGAGAAGACTCACGTGGCACATAAACAAGAACTGTGGCAACATAGATGCCAGTGTCCTGCTTATGAGTAGGTGAAAAAAGAGAATAAAAAAAAAGGAGAAAAAATTTGGAATATTAGAATCACAGAATAAAAAGAAACTCAGATGCAAGTAAATGTTTACATGGAAATGACCTGCGTTACACAGCCCTCGGGATATATTAGTGCTGCTATAAAACAGAAGCTACACGGAAACAATAGATCTACAATGTGGGAATTAATCTATTTGTCAGAAAAGGAATGTCAGCAACGCAATAACAGGTCATTTACCACGACAAACATAAAACCAACTAAAAACAAACCTCAGGTAATACATGGAGTGGGTGTTGTAGGGAGGGGTGTTGAGCAGTCATTGGTTTATCTTTGGTAGGGAGAGGAATATTCTGATAAGTGTGCTTTAACTTTCCGCCACCACCATTCCGTGGCGCTGGGGTTGGCAAGGTATCTGTGGTTCCCGTGGCGTCATTAGTTCTTGGGTCAGAGGAGGGTTCCTGATTCGTTACTTTGGTGGCTCTGCCTGGCCGTGGAATATTTCGATTTGTTGAGCCGTCAGAGTATATGGAGCCGTTGTTGGACTCTGCTCTAGAGGGTGGTCTAGCCAGAACTGTAAGCTTGGATGTCTGACTAGATTCTACAATTAATGTGTTTTGAGTAGGTTCTGATGTTATGATGTGTTTAGTCTCTGAGGTGAAGTGTGTGGTGTGTTGGCCTGGAGCCAAGACTTCGTTCTCAGTCTCTCTTGATGGAGAAGCTGTAGATTCTTTGATCGGGATAGCTTGTATGGCAGGCTGTTTGTCGATCATTTTATGATTTTCCTCGCTATCTTCTTTAGTTCTTATCTTTTTCTTGTTTCCGGGAAGCCTCATTGAAAAATATGCAGCTGTTTTGGCCAACGCACTTTTGACAGGCTTCTCTGATGTACTTCTCATAGAGCCGTACGATTCTGAGTTCTGCCTCTGAACGCGATTGAAACCCTTCCCGTCTTCCATGTGCTCTACATCCTGGCGGAAACTCACGTCTCGCCTCCCTGACACCTTCTGGGAATCCTTCGAGCCCTCCTCCGAGTTAGATTGATTGAGATGGACGTCCTTCCTGCTTCGAGTTGATCCGTAACCGGAAGATGCCTGCTGGCTGAGTTGGCTAGGAGGTCGACTGCCTCCTGCACTACCACCTCCTACCGTGCAGGAACCTGGTACCTCCGAAGCATCCTGCTGACCAGCCACTACACCTTTACTACACTATGTAACGGGTTAGCTACAATGCCGAAATCAAATCATAACACACGCATGTATTTAAATATAAATGCAATGGCCTCTAGGAAACTTTCTCGGTATAGATGGCGTTGTCGGACTTGAGCTGACTCCAATTAATGAACGCTGTAACGTGAACATACATGCGTGTTATTATTTGATTACTCTGGCAAATAAATACAAATAAAGTCAAACATAACAAAGACTGCACTAGCACATAACACATCAAAAGGAAGACAAACTAGCAAATTATGAAAATGGTAGGCTTGAGCAAATTAACAACATTCATGCAAAACACTGGGATATAGCAGTTACATAAAGGTAACTGGAGCACACACTATCCTTCTTACGTAAGCGAAACTCAAGTGATATTCCATTCTAATTAATGTAATTTATAAATTACCTTCCAAAAGAAAGATATTGTATATACTGTGGTGTATAGGAAACTTTGTGTAGTACTCCTAATATGTTTATTCAACTGAGATCCACTGCTTTCTACATATCTAATATTATAATATTTGCAGGTCTTGGAGAAAACTTAAAAAATCTATAATCCCAAGATATGTATTTACACACACACACACACACACTCAAATCCATTTACAGCTATTACTCACCCCACCCCCTCTTATTTTATTGCCTTCACAGAGAAAAGTGTTCGAAATACTTACTATTACTCCTACCTCCAGGGGGCCTCACCTTATTGGGCGGCGGTTGCATCCCGTGAAAAGGTAGATTCTCATAGAAGGTCTGTTTGTCATCGTCAGGTGGTGAGGGAATTCCATTATCCTTGGGATCAGTAGTTGGGGACTTAGAAGCTTCAGGATCTTCGCCCAGAATGAAAAGAGAACATGTTAGCAGAAGCAGACACGTCCGTCGGTCAAGACCAGTCATCTGTGTTTCTTACAAGAGCTGTAGAACTGGCACATTGAAAAGTATTCTGCAATGTTCTTCAGGAATTATAAGCATCATTAATTTTGTAATGGGTGAATATTGCAAGAGCTCTTTATTACCAATTTGCAAGAATGCTAATTTGGGGTTACTTATTTCTGTGCAGATTCAGTGCACGTAGGGTACCCTGTGAAAATAGTGCAGGCAGGGCACCCTATTTAGAGAGGGCAGGCAGGACAGCCTCCTATGGAGGCAGTATAAGTCTAGGAAGACAGTTTAGGATGGGAAGAAAAAGCACTTGGGACAAACAAACGCTCAGCTTTCAAAAAACACATTTTTACAACAGTCATGCCAAATAAATGCACGATCAGCATTAACGTTCCCAAGTGTTAAAAGTATTAAGTTCCACGTTGCACGCTTATATAAACTTAGTAACATTCTGAATACGAAGCTTGAAGCAAAACAAATCTCAAGGCAGAAATGACATACGAAATAAGAGCTTATCATACTGAAAACCTACAAGCTTTATTTTTTTAAACAAGGCATTTCAATCGTATACACATGAAAGCAAGATAAAACAATTAGCTAAATGAAATTAAATTAAAACGCATAAGCAAAAAGTTAAGAGGGATATTTCAAGTGTATGTGGACATCTCTCTCTCACGTCAGAGCAAGTGGAGCGATCAGCTTGAAAGTAAGCTGAAAAACTGAACACATTTCACTTATGGGGAAGCTCTAAATCCCTAGGGTTCGTGAAGCGCCTGGGAACTGATTGTTAACCAGAATGGAGCAGAGGAAGGGCAAAATGTGGATATGACTTTCTTGGATCAAGTGATCTCAGGTCTCGAAGAACTATGATTTGAAGGGAACGCATAATATAAAATAATACAAGCAGTTATTATTTTTTGGCCCATTATTATTTTTTGGCTCATTACTCCTCAGAATAAACAATGCATAGCAAGGTATGTCAGCAGACATCCGGTTATTACCAGAGAAAAGTCTGCGCTTGTAAAATAAGAGCGACTCTCAGTCAGCTCTCCACTGAAGTTGACAAGAGTAAGAGTAGTGACTCAGATCCTAGCATCAGAGGGGCCTTATTGATGATACGAGCTGGGCTGAGTGTAGCTTGGTGCTGGTCTTTCCAATTATTATTATGGTTATATTCGCAAAAATACATGAAAGCCGTTGGCTCGTACAGTTTATAGCCAGAAGAATGGACACCCGCGATCCCCATGAAACTTTATGATAAATGAAGTAAAGCTTGTCCACATGCATTGCCTTAAGTAGCGTCTGGTGAGATGTATTCAAGGGGCCTTTTTTTTTTATCGGACTCGTACATTAAGTGAAAAATAGACTGATTAAAGTTCGTAATTTTGTGCCTTTTAAAGACTGTGTCCATGAAAACACGATTCTTGCTTGACCCATGGGGTTATTCTTTTTACATACATATATACACACATTTATATATATATATATATATATATATATATATATATATATATATATATATAAATGTCGTGCCGAATAGGTAAAACTGGTCAATTGACAAGAACTTGTTTAAAATTAAGTCCTTTCTAAAATTTTCTCTTATACGTTTAAAGATAGATTTTTTAATTTATCTTAATGTAAGAATTAATAATTTTGTACCAAAAGAACCTTAGAAAACTTACCTAACCTTATTATAATAAGCGCAATTTAATTTAGCCTAATCGAACTCGATATATTTTAGATAAGTTTACAATAATTTAATAATAAACAAACACAATGAAATATATTTTTTCGTTAGGTTCAGAATGATTTTTACGAAATTATTGCATAAACAAATTTTAGCTTGCCTTATTCGGCAAGAAGAGCGTTGGTATTTAAGCCAAAATAGCAAGTTTTACCCATATATATATATATATATATATATATATATATATATATATATATATATATATATATTTATATTTATTTATTTATATATATTTATTTATTTATTTATGAAGTAATGGAGATTATCACAGTTATAAGTTGAATTCCTAAGTGCTTTCATGAAGGAATCTCTGTATATCTTGCAGTCAATTGTTCTTGTGATTAATCTAGAGTACATACATTTAGGCATTCCACAATCAACAATACAATTGATTTAGACATTGAAGAACTTGATAAGTAAGGTCGGCGATAGACATATCTTTTTGAGCAGTCAATGAGACTTGTATGGCTTTTCTGAATCAAATACGAGTTAATAGTATTATTTTTGGGAAAGCTCAAAATTCATAGGAGTCATGGAGCTCCTGGGGCGGTGGGAGCCAGTCTGGTCTCATTCAAGGGAAGGTTAGCCCTCACGACACCCCCTACCCTATCCTTTTTCAAGGTCTATATAGCTTAAATATTTTTTTTTAATTGGAAAGAACTGAACTACGGTACATTTCTTAGGAGAGATGGTTCCAGTACCCAGGATAAAATGTTCAACCAACACACTAGTGAAGCCTCGTTCAACACAAAATTAACACATCATAATGACATACATATTCTTTTAGAGTTTAAAACTAACTAACAAATTGGATTTAAATCTAGCCGACTCATCGGTCTATCCTGAATCATTTTGAAGTCCAGGACGGGCGAAACATCGTCTAATTTCATCCCCAATTTGTAGGTTGTGAATTGAGATGTTTATTCTTCATTTATTGTTATTATTAACCCTTGTTACACATTTTTCATAACATGAACAGGAAACCTGAAAAATAAGACTGCACACGGCGAATACCAGTACTCAATAAAACCAGCAGAAAATGCATATTTATCCATATATTAGGCTGTATCCCCCCCCCCAAAAAAAAAAAAAAAAAACTACCATAATACCTGCTTTTTTCCTGCTACAAACACACTGCCACAAGTGAGAGCACCTTGTCTAACCAAGCTTCCACATTAAGATTCTCAGAATTCGAGATCACAGAGAATATTTTGGCAGCAAGCGAGACAAGGGAGTGAAATACGGCATTAAAGAGAATTTACAATAAAGCCTCGTCGTAAACATAAAAAGTTGGACGAGTTCTCTGAACCCCAATTCCGTTTTATTACATTAAATGGAATACAAAGGTCCAGATATGTCTTAGATATATATACTTTTTCCCCTTTGGGTATTTTCGATAAAACTATATGTATAATCTTTCTGCTTTTTTTTTGAGTATCAGAATTCACAACGTGAGAGAAGCGAGCTCACGGAGACCAAAACAGTGACCTCTGAAACAGCCTACCTTGACCTGGTTTTTTGCGTTTACGTCCAGTCGTCGACCCTTCGGTGATGTCTGGCTTGGTCTGTACCACGACTAAAACAGACACAGACAAATACCGGACATGACACAAAAACATACACAACGAAACACATGCAGTCAGTGAGAGACTTACCTGTATTAAACATGTGAATAATCCCAAATACTTACAATTTATTATAATTACATTATTATAATTAAAGACTATCAAAGTTTAATACAGGTAAATTCTTAAAAAATTAGATTTTTAAGGTAATGCGAGGAATGACGAGAGAATGAAAATTCAATAAGTATTTTATTAGCCAATTTTAAGAATTTTGAAAGATAAATATCACTCATTTTTTATATTTAAATGCACGACATAAATTTGATCATAAAAAAAAAAGCGTAAAACTGAACGGGTGCCAATTTATATTTGTTAAATAAATCACCCACATGCGTGATGCGATATAACAAATCTTGTGGCCTAAGTCAGGGTAAAGGCTGCTTAACACTACTAACTTTGCTTAATCATTTCCGACTCCCTCTTCATTACCTCCTGACAAGGGCTCAGGTATGAATCCACTTGACATAGCTTCTAAAATCTTGAGTTTAGTGGAAATGAAGCGATTGGTATGATTCTCTCACCTGCACCCCAGAGGTTCTGTGCATAATTAAGGAATGGAAGGTGATGCAAAAAAAAAAAAAGACAATTAATTAGAATCTCTGTTCTCTTACAACTTTTGGTTCATTGTTATCTTGCTGCAAACTTTTTAGATTGGATGTTTGCAAGAGATTAAATTTTTTCGGCATTTTGGAAAAGTGAGGTTACTGCATGCAAAAACTACTGCTTTTGTATTATATATATATGATATTAATATATTAAAATCTATTTATGAAATCAAGGGGAGATCGCTAACACCCGAGGATATAATAAGGACTGGAGGGGGGAAAAAAAAAGACATTGTGGAAGGCATTTCTGCTTACAACTTTTGGTTCATGTTATCTTGGCAAATCAATTCCTAAATAGAGTCCCTGCACAACATAAATGGACTTCCTTGAGGGGTACTCATAAAATATTTTATATATATATATATATATATATATATATATATATATATATATATATATATATATATATATATATATATATAATATGCATGCATGCAAGAAATATTGCTGAATATTTCGATCCTTACTCAGGTATCCACCTTAGCACATTAAAGTGTGACATTACACACAGGTGAGTGCAGTGAATGTGACTGGTGAACATCTATAGTGGTAGACTACAAGTGCATGGGGTGGGTGCAGGTGAGATGTTAACTCCCTGGAGAGGAGCACACACAACTTCCTCTACATTACTGAGGGTAAACTCTTAGCAAAATGAGAGATTTTTCTTTAATCATTGAAGTGGCGTCTTTCATGTTGCTGTGCTCAACTTTTAGGCCTCCAGGGAATTAGATGTGCGGAAACTCAACCAGCTACCATTGTTTATCTTAATTTTGGTTTGCTATTCTTGTACAATAAGTTTTTTTTATTGACTATGAAGGAAGGTACAGTTTATAAGATAAACTACAATGCAAGATATTCAGAAAATCAACTAATAGAAAAAAATTGCAGTGGGGTTCAAAAGTCCCTCTACACTGGGGTTAAGGTAAAGGAAGTTTTGAGACTTCCTGTACTTCACTAACCAGTAGAGGTTCCCCGTGTTTATATATTGCATTCGTAGTACCGACTCTAAATAGGACAAGTTTAAGAGAAACATACCTGAATTCCCCGTGTGAAAGTTAACGTCAAGGTCAGACACAACACTTTTGGATCTGTGTTTTGTGGTGTTAGTCGCAGAAGTAGGGTGGGAGTTGGAAGTGGGAGAAGGGCTTGAAGAGGACACCATGTTATCCCGTGGGATATCCAAGGAGGTTTGGCGAGGAAGTGTGTGCGGGTTACTGTGGGAGTTAAGCTTGCGGAGGCTGGAGCTGGTACGTTTGTTATCTAAAGTAGGGTACTGCTGGTGTGGGTGGAGAGGGTGGGAGAAACTGGGATGATAGTTGTCCTCCTGGTTGTTGTGGTTGGTCAGAGGAAGGTGATGGGAGTGTTGGAGAGGATGCTGGTGGTAAGGATGATGCTGGAGGTTTTGTGGAGGAGGAGGAGGAGCACTGTTGGTGGGAGGAAATAGGCTTGTCATAGTGTTGTTGTTGTGCAGGGGCTTGGAGTCGTCAGTCAGGCTAGTGAGTGAGTTGAGGTGCACGTGGACGCCGGGGCGGAGGGGCCACTTATGTACTGGTTGGACTGAGGCAGGGGAGAAGGGGTCGGGGCGGGGCGAGCTCCCTTCCGTGCTATAACAGAAGGGAAAGAGAAGGGCCACCAGAGCGCCTTCGTCAACATCAACACATTCACCACACACGACATTAATGAAACTAGCGGAGCTCCGGGAAGCTCGTATTGTTGGTAAGTCTTGTTAGGAATACTTTAATTATTTCATTATATATATATAATCAGGTGGGAGAGATTTGCAAATTCTCAACACATTTATTAATGTACAATCAATGCTTCAGTGGCAAATCAATCACCATTATCAGAATTCATTTCTTGAACAAAATTCAGTATACAATAGACAATACACAACATACAAAACTTTGACCAGTCATGTTAGGTGTTGTTCTCATCTGAAATACTACTTTTTTTTTGTATTTCTAACGACTTACGTTTTGTACATAATTGTCCTTCTACTCAGTAACCAGATGGTAACACCTAATTTGGATAGTTTAATTTTATTGCATGTTGGTTATTGTGTATTGTATATTGCTTAGTCGTATTCCAGAAACGAATCCTGATGGTGATTCGTTACCGAGTCGTTGATTATACTGAACATCAATAACTGTTTTAAGAAAATTCAACTTTTTCCAGCGTATTATGAATATTTCTATAAGTTCAACCATCTTTATATATATATATATTATAATAATATAATATATATATATATATATAATATATATAATATTAAATTATATTTGTAAATTTAGTTTAAGAAAGATTTATAAGAGATTCCCGTAGATATCTCCATATCTGCCTATAAATCACGATTTATTAATGACAAATAGTACGATACAATGTGGAAAAAGCCACCTGTTACTCTTTAATAAGTGCAGAGCCATTGCCTTGTGAAGAGAGAGGTATAAGACAGTGAACAAGGAGGACACAATGGGACTAGGGCAGCCACAAACCAACCTTCTAGGCCGTGCACTAAGTCATGTCCGGAGGAATAACACAGTACCAACACTCACTACTCGGGCCGCAACACTAAATGCAGTCATTAAGTGCGGCCATATGCACAGTCTTGATCTAACTGATGCCTCTTGGTGGAAGGAGGGAAGAGTAGGAGGGAGGGCTTCAAGAGGTTATACAAATGTCGGCCATCTTGATGCTGCATTATCCTCGGAAACAAACAGAATACGGACTACAAGGACCAACTAAAAAGATCAGATTACCTTGTGCATTGGTAGCGGTACTATCGGAACTTACTCCTTTCCGTAGGTTAGGATTTTAGCACAGGCAGTAAGGAGGTACGATGCATCAAATGGAAAAAAAAAGAAAAACAGATAAACTTACATTAAGTATTCAGTATTAAAAAGTAGCTAAGTATAAATGAATAAGCTAAAGAAAATGTATTAAAGAACATAACATAAGTATGCATTCAGCTGATATTTTTTTTTCATGCCCGATCTTAACGCAAGCTGGAAAAGTCTCCGGGTTTTCTATCGGAATTGGATATTTTGAAGAGTTAAATTTTATAAACAGTCGATTTTTACGCACACGTCATATACATTTTTTTCTGTTTTTAAGTTCTAAATATCACTAATATGTAAGGTGGATGGTGTGAGGTGGAGGTAGAGGTGTAGGAGAGGTAGAATGGGAAGCCAGGACTGGGAAAGGTGGCGAGAAAACTGGATATATGAAGGCACTTAGTAGGTACACGCGTGCACACAATTGTACATCCACACGCACGTGACACACACACACACACACACACACACACACACACACACACACACACACACACACACACAAAGGACATGACAAGAGAAACAAACAAAGGAACACATTAGACAGCCACCGGTCAGCCTGCTCAGCGCTAGCTTCAGGGCGGTTCAGGCTGCCCCAAGCAATCACCCACATATTTCATAAACACAAGCTGACTTAATGCCCGATTTATCCGCTTGTTCCTTCACAAATTTCTAACTCTGGGTAGGAACATTGGGAAGCGACTTATTATAAGGTAAGTAATGTTCCTTTCAGAGTTTAAATTTGTGAAGTTTTGGAAATGTTTAAGCAACGCTAGAGTGAAGGTTCTTAGCCCTCGAGTTCTACCTCAACTTCGTGTGCCGTTTAAACCCTGACCCCTGAGGCAGCGCTGCAGCAGGCGACGGCGATGGCGCTGCAGCAGCAGCCAATACTCACAGTGGTTGCGGGCGAGAGCATCCGGGGTATTCATGAGGGCAGTTCCTTTGACGCGTGCTCTGGGCTGGGGTCTTCGTCCACCTTGTCTGTAACACCCGGGGCCTCAACTCTTAGCTACACTCAGGCTACACTTAGCTCTCTACACCTGCTCTACTCATGGACAACCAGGGTCCGTACATGTATACTTATGTGCTACACGGCATCTCTCTCCAACACAAACGCCGGCACACACACACCGGCACGCACACGTACATACACACGTACATACACGTACACACACGTACACACACGTACACACACACACGTACACACACACGTACACACACACGTACACACACACGTACACACACACGTGTACACACACACACACACACACACACACAAGAAACACGGGCTTGGGCTACATGTAACATTAATGGGTAAATAACCGACCCTTAGAGGGTGACTCACCAAGGTGGTAAAACACTTAGTAGGTGACCTACCTAGGGAAGTGCAAAACACTCAGGTGACCTACCTATGAAGGGGGGGGAGGCAAAGTTCTCAGGTGGTGACCTACCAAGGGACACGACCTGACCTGATTGGTGACTTGTTTAGGAATGTAACCTGTCCAAAGGATGACCTTTCCCGGTGGGCGACCCACCTAGTGAGTAACTTCAAAGGGTAACTTACCCATTGGGTTGATCTGGCCACTGTTGGCAGCCTACTGAGAGATGTCCTAACAGGGGTATTTATTTAATCCAGGGAGATGATCAGTCACAGGAAGGAGGGTTTATCTATTCCAGAGGGGCCCGGGGGGAAGGGGTTGCGCAGAGTTGCTGGGGTCATATATCCAAACACAACTGCAATCCGTCCTCATAACGCCGTTTTTGCTAACCTATTGCACCACGTACATTTCTGCACGCTTTCCACTTGGGCAATGGAATCTGCACAAGAAGGAAACGAAATTCGCTTCACTTAACGCGTTTAGGATAACCTTCATTGAAGATAACTTCCGCATTCAGGTTCAGCGAGGTCAAAGTTAGGTTAACCTAGATTAGCGAAATCTCTAATACAACCTCGCCAAAGCAAGTTCAAAGTAATAACGAAGATATTACCTAGCAGAAACTGAGGCTGTGTTAACTAGGGTTGTGCCAAAGAATCGGCAGCGGTGCGTATCGGTCAATATAGAAGGTATCGGCAAATATTTTGGTACCGTTCCATCGCGTGCGTCAACACGCACTACTGACAAGCTCATGAAATAAACACATGTGCAACATCTGGATATCTTCATTTTGTAGACATCTCGCCATCTAGTGGTTTAATCAGCGTAATACAGGGAGATAAATGGAAGACGGTAGAAGAGGAGGTAATCAGTCTCAGCCTAGGAACCAGTGTCTTGAAACAAGAGATTAATCAAGGGCCGAGGGGACTGATTGCCTCATCTTCTATAGCTTTCCGTTTATGTTCCTGTATTGTACTGATAAAGTCGCTGGATTGCGAACGTCTATAAAACAAAGATGTAAAGATGCCCAGATGCTGCACATGTCTAATTCATACTGCAGTACGCTGAAACGTCAGATGTACGCTCGGTATGAGGACGGGATGCATACACATGCCACACACTCCACAAAGATGGTAGGAAGATACTGGGTGCAGAGCAAACCTATATTATAGACGACGTTTCGCTCTGGGTAAATCTCCAAGCGGAGATACATGTTATCTATGATAAATTTTCCTGTGCACCAAGTGTTTCTCTGCCATACTTGTGGGCAAGACGTGCCATCTTACATTGCCATACTTGAGAAAACGTGCCATCATACACTATCATACTTGAGGGCAAGACGTGCCATCATACACTATCATACTTGAGGGCAAGTCGTTGTTTGTAGGACGGCACGTCCTACAAACAACGACAAAAGAAAAAAAAAGTGTAGCACTGCCATTTTAGGCAAACATACATCAAAAAAAAAATAAAGAAAATAAGAACACAAACAAAACATGGATGAGTCTCGTAAACACAATATAATTGAAAACTGATAAAAGTAGATAGTAAAAAAAGAGAGGTAAGCGAATAAATAAGACGCAAGGAGAGGCTAGGTATATACACAAGAGGAGGGTAAACACACAGTGAGTCAATAGTCTATACTGAGTCTCCTCAGCCTGCACGAGGAGACTGTTGCTGGAGTATGTTAGTAATGCGTTGGGATTAGTGCAACCTTACATGCAAGCTTGCTCAGCACGCACGCACCAATCACACACACACACACACAACACACACACACACACACACACAAAAACACAACTACACACACACACACTACCACACACACACACTACACACACACACACACACACTACACACACACTACACACACACACACACACTACACACAACAGGCCTAGTGTCTAATCGACATGTGCCTAGGACAAAATGGTAACTAACACACACACACCACACACCACACACACACACCACCACAACACACACACGTGCTCATATACAACAGGCCTAGTGTCTAATCGACATGTGCCTAGGACAAAATGGTAACTAACACACACACACACACACGTGCTCATATAAAACAGCCCTAGTGTCTAATCGACATGTGCTAGGACAAAATGTAACTAACACACACACACACACACACTACACACACACACCCCACACACACACACCACACACACACACACACACACCACACACACACACACACACTACACACACACACACCTACACACACACACACTACACACACACACACACTACACACCCCACTACACACACACACACACACACACACACACTACACACACACACACACACACACTACACACACACACACACACACACACACAACCACACACACACACACACACACACTACAACACACACTACACACACACACACTACACACACACTACACACACACACACTACACACACACTACACACACACACACACACACACACACACACACACACACACACTACACACACACACACTACACACACACACACACTACACACACACACACACACACACACACACACACACACACACACACACACACACACTACACACACAAAACCACTGAAGGTAGCTTGTACGCATGCTCAAGCAGTCCTGCAGTTGCAAAAAAATGCAAACATGAGAAGGGTTAAATAAGAGAAGGGGAGGAGGACTGAGGGAGCCTGGTGTTGGAGGGGTGGGGGTATCTTTAGGCTGATCCTCCTCCACTTGGTGACCTATTATCCGAACTAGCGATTTGTCACAACGGTGTTACACTGGATCAGATAGACTTAGAGGGCTGGAGAGGGTTAGATAGCGTTGGATACAGGGGTTGGATAGCCTTGGGCAGAGGAATTAAATAGCCAGGGGAAGAGGGTTAGGCGGAGGCCAGTCGTTTCACTGACTACACAACAAGGGTGGTTTCTGCGACCTTAGGGAGACGTATTATTCACATATCCACTACTATCTTCTGAAAAAAAAAAACTTCCATCATATATGGAATTGTTTCACTGGAGTCTTTCTTTGGTGGGGACTTTTCAAAAAAATTATCTAGTCTGACCAATTAAAAAAACCGCAATGACACGATAAATTCGCTTCTCATTTAATTACAAGAATAAACAAAACAATTACAGAAATGACTGTAGCTGGAAATAAATTTCTGACAGACTTTAAAACAAAAGTTGCACATTTTTATATATATTTATTTCTTTCTTTCAGTGCGCCCTTCAAAATGTAGAAATTATCAGAGCTCGTGCTCGTGACAAACGTGTTTCCAACGTATTTGCTCGCGCGTGTGTGTTTACCTGGTCTCTCGCAACACCGCCAGGTAACATCCTCTGTTGACACACATTTTGTTAGTTCATTTAGTTTCGTTTGATTTTAATGGGTCAATTAGCGCTAGTTTAAGTTAATTTAACTTACATTCATTATGCTGAACCGAAACAGACAGGTGGAGAGATAATGGCGGTATTGCGCGCAGACCTCGCTGGGAAGCACACACCGTAATGCATTGGAAAACCAACGTTTTGTTCGTGAAAGTACACTGAAGTATCATGCACTGTGACGACTCACACTGGCTGATCCTCCTCACCATCCCTCTTCAAACCCTTATAACCGATATTCATACATATACTTTTTTTTCTCTTTGTAACTGACGTATATCTAAATAATACACATTAGTCAAGCTGACCCTGGCCTGAATGATGTATACAGACAGCGACCAAGCTGACAGGGGTGCAGAGGATACATATCGGTGCAACTGATACTGATCTGAATGATAGTGTTAGTGAAACTGGAAAAATAAAATACATAGAGAATGTGGTATTTACAATGGATCATTAGATTATCTGATTTTCAGTGACTCTTCCAGCTCGTGTTGGGGGGCAATGTACAGTAGTGTTGTTTACCTGCTCGGGGGGACGTGCCACAAGGTGCTAGATGGAGGGAGGAGGGGGAAGATCAGGGAAACGAGGGGAAGCTAAGGGAAGAAAGGGAGGAAGAGGGAAGAGGAGAGTGTGATAAGAACAAGGGGGGGGGTAAGGAAGGAAAAACAGTTTCCTGCATCAGACTGGCCGGTAAGCTACACAGGTGGTCATACCAGCCATCTGCAGCTGGATACCATATAACACCAGCTGGGCCAGAAGTTCACGCGCCTCACCCTCTCCCTGTACTATTGGCCAACCACCCAGGCAAGGTAGTACAAATACAGGTATAACCAGTTTCGCCCACAGGTGAACCTTTTTCCAAGTCATGGCTTGGAAAACAAAGATCACTTGTGGGCGACACGTCGTGCAAAAACATGCTCGACTATAGTTATCTTTGCAAGACCATGCCTGTCAGCATCTTGCTCGCGTTGGCAAGTAGTCACAACAAGTATTGCTCACCCACCAACCACACAACCAGGCGGACCAGGTAGTGTTCACCCACCAACCACACAACCAGGCGGACCAGGTAGTGTTCACCCACCAACCACACAACCACTCGGATACCCGGATGCTGCTCTACCCTGCTGTTCTTCCTTTAACCAAGCAAAAGTGAAGAAAACAAACACGCTGAACAGAAAGAGCTCCAATTTAGGAAAACGCTGCTCTCCATCTA